TTTGGAGTAAGTTGGACAAGGAATGATTACTAGGGTGGGGAGTTTATCGGAGTCGCGGCCGGGGAGGCGATAGAGAGAAGGCAGTGCGAGGACGAGTCGGCCACAACAAGGCTTAAGGGGATGGAGCAGGGTATTTTTCGACTCTCTTTTGCATCTCAGAGCTTCGCGCGCATTCGTGATTTTGTTAAGATGAAAAAACCTGGAGAGACTGTCAGAAAGCTAATTTCCTGGAAGAGGCTATTGGGTTACAGGATTCAGATCACGGGAAGGAGCGAGAAACGCCATTTCTGAGTATCTCTTGCTGGGAGGGGGGTTCAGCTATTACAGTGGAGTGGTGTTCCGAACCCTAAATTGCAGGGCTAATCAGAAACAGAGCAAGTCGGAATTATATTGGACACTTTCAGTTGCTAAAAACCCTAAAGAACTTAGTTGTCCAAATTTTACTAGAGTTAACGGTGACGATGTTCACTGGCCAGACTGTTGACCTGATCCGTGGGGTTACAGATTAGGGTATTGTTCTTGAGCATCGAGTCAATGGTCATTCTGACTGGCGGTGACGGACCCAAAATTGTCAGAGAGGTGTGTCGCCGATAAAATAATATAATAATTAAAAAATTAATAGAAATTAAATGGAAATTACTAGAAATTAATTCATAAAGTTCATGTTTACTAGAAATGCCTGTAAATACATTCATTGTTTATGTTGCGAAGCAAATCTTTTTCCATATACACAACTAATCAATGATTCATAAATCGGTCACTCAACCGACTTCAAAGTTCATTCTTGATTATCTTCATAGCTGAAATCTTTCGCAACTTTCAATTGCAACATATATAGTCAACACCAACTTCCAAAAGCAAGTAAAACTAAAGGGTAAAAGAAAAGGGAGATGTGGTAGTGGCTCTCGGTAATTAGAAATTAAAACGGGGTAAGGTTGAGTTTTTTATTTTCAATAAAGGAAGGGTCAAAGGGTGGAAACGGTGAGTTTCAATGGATGGGGTTATGTTTATTTTTTCCATTGTTGGGTTGTAGTAGGGATGACAACCAAACCCATGGTCGCGAGTACCCGACCTCCTCCGACCCTATCAAAGCGGGAATCCTTGCGTTGACTGGGTATGGGGCGGGTATGGATAAAACCCCCAAAAAGGTTGATGGGTATGGGTTGGGTATGGTTTTTGACTCTCCCGCCCCATACCCATATCCAAACCTGCCAACCAATGATATTATGTTATATACATAAAATATAAGGAGTGTATTGTAACTTGTCAATCGAATGAATGGTAATTAAAAGAAAGAAAAAATAAAGTGTTAAAATGTAATTGATGACAACCAAACCGTAATTTCATCCTCTTATGTATTAGTTCCTTAATTTTGGGTGGGTAGTATCCATATTTGTCACCATATTCTTTTATTAATGGTGAGTAGTTGTTGGGGCGATATTACCCATGGGTATCCGAAAACCGCGGGTATGAGGATGAGTTTGTAAGACCTTCCACTGCATGGGTATGAGACGAGTATGAGTTTGAATATTTGGAAATGGGGATGAGGTTGATTTAGGTAAACCCGTCATATTGCCCAGGGCCGTCCCATGATATTTGGAGGCCCTGTTCGAAAATTTAAAATGTGGCCCTAATTTTTTCCCCATAAATTTATCAAAATTAAAAATTAGTAAATAATTGTAAAAAAATACTTAAGTTCAGAAAAAGATTACATCAGGAATAAACGATCTCGTTTCCAGTTTGATCAAGAAACCAAGACCGAATTCCCATCCCTAGTAGGGAGGAAAGTAAATCTGGAAGGAAGAGAAAATGGATATAGCGCAAAAATTGAATGGAGAAATGAAAATAGTCTAAATTGATCGAGAGGTGGGTGCAGGGTTGTCTACTAGATCGTGGAGGCCCTATTTCAAAATCTAGACGTGGTCCAAATCGACCTTTAACTATAATAAAACTAAAATGATTATAATAACATTATTCAAAATGTAATATCTTTCTTTATTGTTTAAATTAAAATTATCTATTATTTTTCAGATTTTCGTATTCTCCATGAGATCCTTTTCAATTGTTATTATAGCTAAAATTATCTATTAAACACATCATCATACATTCATACTCATAATCAATCAATCATACACTAAAAATACAACCTACAATATACGATCGGTAACTAACGAATCTAAGTAGAGGCCCCTAATATTCTGAGGCCCTGTGCCGGAGGGCGGGCCAGCACACCCTCTTGGCCGGCCCTGATATTGCCATCCCTAGGTTGTGGTGTGGGTTACTCTAAAACAAGAATACTTATTTGAATTTACTGATTATTGTGTATTACTAATTAAGATAAATAACTTAATAACAAAAAAAAATCATTCTCATATAATGAAGGTGTGTCGCTCACAATTATTTAAGGTGTGTCGGAAGTTCCGAATTAAAAAAAATGTACCAAAAATATATAGGTACTTCACAAAATTTCTGGGCGAGGGTGTGTCGGACGACACACCCTGCCCTTTACTAGGTCCGCCACTGCTGACTGGCTTCCCTTTCATGCTGATCTTTTTTCTTCTCTACAGGACCGGAGGAAGAGCACTTCTACTATGCTATAAAGTATTGGTGCTTTAATGTACAACTTGAAATTGTACCATAACATAAAATGTATAAGTTCAGGTTGTACCATAAAAGAATTTGTACCCTTATGTTATGGTACAACTTTACAACTTAAAGTTGTACCGTCACATAAAGATACAAATTCAAGTTGTACCATATAGAATTTGTACAAAAGAGTATAGGTACAATCTGAAGTTGTACCATAACATTAAAAGTACAATTTGAAGTTGTACCATAAAGACAAAAAACTATAGCACCAATATATAGCATTGTAAAATTCCTCACTGAAGGAAATGTCTTACTTGTGGGGTTCTCAAGACTTTTCAAAGCCACCCAGCAGACAGTTTTTCCTCCGGATACAATATGTTCATGTCAATTGTCATCAAGTCATCGCCCGTTGACGGGGACTCCTAATCTAATGCTCGCCGGCGCTTAGCTTGTAGCTCCTAGCTGCATTTACACTGCTGCTATCCGAAATTTCGCATCATCAATGGCTGCAGGAGGATCAACAGCAGTTGTGAACACAATCCTCGTCAGCTTGGGATGCTACCTGGTCTTGTTAGCAAGGCCCTGTCACCAGAAATCCACTCTGCTGCAGGGGCAAAAATTTGATGGTGGGGAAGATGGACAAGTAGAACTATTTTCGTCAGAAAATGGGATATTCAAGCTTTAGTTCGACTATGTTAGCTCGTTGGGCAACTTCTCCAACCTCTACCTGGGGATATGGTACAATTACCAGGACGGACCCCCGGTTTGGATTGCAAACCGGAACTCCCCGTTTCGGCTCGAATCTCCAGCGCTTACAATTGACAACACTGGCAGCTTCAAGATCCTGCATTCAGGTGGTGAACCCTTCATCCTATATGAGTACGAACCAGCAACAAATAATAGTCATAATACAAGTGCCACGCTGGAAGATTCAGGGAATCTAGTACTCCACCAGCTCAATCCTGATGATGGGTCAAAGGAAAAGGTCCTCTGGCAGAGCTTCGATCACCCAACAGATACACTTCTCCCTGGGATGAAAATTGGAATCGACCACAAAACTGGCAGAATTTGGTCATTAACTTCGGCTAGAAGCACACTTTCACCTGCTGCTGGCTCATTTACTTTCGGCATGGATCCTAATGCTACCACTGAGTTGGTGATTTGGCAGAGAGGGAAAGTGTTTTGGAGAAGTGGGGTTGGAAGAATGGAGGATTCTCTGATCTGGGGAAGGTTTCCACCTTCAGTCGGGCGTACAATTTCAGCTACTTCACCAGTGAGAATGAAACTTACTTCCACTACTCGCTAGTGGATAGAGCCATCAGCCTTTTCCCTTTGTTGTCAATAGATGTTGATGGTTCAATTAGGGGCTTCAGGTATGGTCGTGACTCCGTGCAAGTTTATTGTGGTCAGCCATACAACGGGGTAGGTTGTGTGCCTTTGGAGATGCCTGAATGCAGAATCAGCAATGGTGAACTAAAATTTGGGTTCCACTCCCATGTGGGTTTCATGTCCAGAGAAGGATTCAGGTACAGCAACACTGAAAATCTGACACTACAGGATTGCAAAGGAATGTGCTTGAGCGCCTGTTCTTGTGCTGCATATGCTACTTCCAATGAAGATCGCACTGGCTGTGAAATTTGGAACTCCACGTTCAGCTTCAGGGAGTCTCCATTTTCAGATCATTCGAGGTTTATATACTTCAGTGACCAAGATCAAGGTGATTGGTTCCCTCCCTTTTGTTTTCTCTCAGCTTTTTTGCTTGACCTATTTTATTACACGATTTTAAATGAATATCTGCATGTTGCCAATGCAGCAAATCGGTGGTGGCTGTGGGTTACACTTGTAGTAGGGTTAGCTATCATCACTCCAGCATTTGTGGGCTTCTGCTACATGCTTTGGTTCAAGTTTAGACATTCAGGTAAAATTCAATCAAGATAGCGTGCATTCTTCTGCTCATGACAGTTTTCTGAGGACTGCTTCATTAGGTGACATGAAGATCAATTTGAAGAATTTGTTTGGCATAATGGACCCAAAATGCATTGCCTAAGACATTGAATGGCATGGCTGAAAAGCAACAGGACGACGAGAATGGGTTGCAGATGTTCAACTTTGAAAACATTGCTTCTGCAACGAATTATTTTTCACCAGCAAACAAGCTTGGACAAGGGGGGTTTGGACCTGTTTATAAGGTAAACATAAATGCGAAAAGCTAAATAGAACTTCAAAAAGCCAAGACCTACTTAAATGGTGGGCAGTTAAGAACCTAAACCGACTACTGTGTATTATTGCAGGGAAGGCTGGTTAATGGGCGAGAAATTGTAGTAAAGAGGTTATCAAGAAGTTCAGGACAAGGGTTTGTGGAGTTCAGAAACGAAGCCATGCTCATTGCTAAACTTCAGCACACTAACCTTGTGCGTCTATATTAGGCTTATGCATATTGGGAGATGAACAGATTCTAGTTTATGAGTATATGCCAAACAACAGCTTGGTCTTCGTTCTGTTTGGTATTCTTCTATGCCTTCTTTATTCCGCCTCTGCAGAGCTCCCTGTATACTGAGTTCTATACATTCTGTTTGCCTTTTTATAAACATTTTTTCATATGTTACAGATTCTGAAAGAAAGAGTGTCCTCGATTGGAGGAAGCGATTTAACATCATTGATGGAATCGCGCAAGGACTTCTCTACCTCCACAAATACTCCAGATTAAGAGTCATCCACCGAGACTTAAAGGCAAGCAACATCTTGCTTGATGATGATATGAACCCAAAGATATCGGATTTCAGCATGGCTAGGATATTATGTCTCAGTGAATCTGAAGCAAACACCAAGCGTGTTGTTGGAACCTAGTATGTTCCCATTAAATCATGTACTTAGATAATAAGATATAAACACTTTATAAATAGATTCATGGTAAGCTTCTTCTTCTTTTTTTTTTTTTTTTTGGCAGTGGCTACATGGCTCCAGAGTATGCTATGCATGGTGTCGTCTCAACTAAAATTGACGTGTTCAGCCTTGGTGTCTTGCTTCTGGAAATTGTGAGTGGCAGGAAAAACAATGGATTTTATCATCCTGAAGAACCAATCACCCTCATTGGATATGTGAGTTCCCGTCAATACAGTTCCCACCAGATTAAAGGAAAAGAAGACCCATCTTAACTGAACATGTACATTTGATGGAATGTCTATTTGTGTAATGTTTGTTCTATTTGCGTGAATCAGGCATGGCAGCTCTGGAAAGAAGGCCAGGGACTACAGCTTCTGGACCAAACACTGGGAGATTGCAACACCCATAACGTACTGAGATGCATTCATATTGGTCTATTGTGTGTTCAAGATCAACCCACAGATAGGCCTACTATGTCTGATGTTGTGGCCATGCTGTCCAATGAGACGTTGGAGCTTCCCGACCCAAAGCAGCCTGCATTTTTCGCGAGTGCAGTGGTGGAGGAGATTGACGGTTTGGAGCTCAACGACCAGAATTGTTCCAGAAACACTGTGACCATTACTGTAATGCAGGCAAGATAGATAATGATAGATACTTATGAACTTGCTCATTTCTTTTGTTGTCGTGTTGCTTTTATGAGTTGTTGAAATCAACGACTAGAATGGTCTCGTAAACAATGTTGCAACCTCTATAATGGAGGCAAGATAGATAGATAGATAGATAGATAGATAGATAGATAGATAGATAGATAGACACACGTAGCAGAGCAGTCTTGAAGCTTATCAGGTCACTTTGGTGGCCATAAAACACATGCCAGCGACTTGTGTGTTTTTGCAATTTTACAATTCTACTGCTAAGATCTACAATAAAATGTTACCTTCATTTGGTTAACGGTGACAATTGGGTCTTCGGTCAACTTGTGTAGCAGGTACTACACATTTTGTCTGGCTTGCTTTTTCCATTCTGTTGTCTTTCTCACTCTCCAGGTTTGTGGGGAAAGTCTGTCTCGTGGTGTTTCATAAAGACTTTTCAACAAAACAAGAAACAGCTCTTGCCTTAAGTTATGCCCTTATGTCAGCAAAGTCATGTCCTTTGACAGTGGCAAAGTAATCTAATCTGTTTTTGTTGCTTACAGGTTACAGTATGCCGGCCCATAGCTTAGGCAGCTTCCAGTTGCATCACAATTCATTCCCACTTAATTCTATTTGAAGTTGTCACCAGAAATCCACCATGTTTCTGGGTGAACATACTGGTTGGAGAGATAGACAAGTACCACTATGCCATCAGAAAATTGGATGTTCAGGCTTCAGTTCAATGATTTGAACCAACAAATATCCGACACCAAATCCTACCTGGGAATATGGTACAGTTACGAGGGCGGATTACCGGTTTCGATTGCCAACCGAAACTCTCCGCTTCAGCTCGATTCTGTAGTACAATTGACAAAAATTGCAGCTTGAAGATTCTGCAGCCTACAGGTGGTGAACTCATCATCATATATGAATATTAAGCAACAAAGTGTAATCATACTACTAGTGTAACACTGGAAGATTCAGGGAATCTATTACTGTACGAGAATCATCCTTACGAGAAAAGGATACAGGTACTGTGGCAGAGCTTCGATTACCAAACAGTCACACTCATCCTTACAATGAAAATCGGGATCTAACAAAGAACTGGCCTAAGTTGGCCCCTACTTCACTCGGAAGCAAACTTTCAACTGCTGTTGGTTCATTTACTTTAGGCATGGAATGCCAGAACCCAGAGGGAAGATCATTTGGGAGAAGTAGGGGTTGTAAGAATGTAGTGCAGTGCTCGCTGGACTGTCAACGCGTTTGTCAGAGTATTTCAGTCACGGTGTTGTGTCAACTAAACTCGTTGGCGCCTTGCTTTTGGAAATGGCGAGCGGGAAGACCAGTGACTACAACTTCTGAACCAGACACTGGGAGATCTCAGCACTCAAAATGTACTGAGATGCATTTGTATTGGCTTCTGTGTTCGAGATCATGCCACATATTTTTTTCTGGATGAAAGATCATGCCACGAATAGACCAACCGTGTCTGAAGTTGCGACCATACTGTCCAACCACACATTGGAGCTTTCTAACCCAAAACAGCCTTCATTTTCACGAGCTTCGTGGTTAAGGTTGAAAGTGTAGAAATCAACAACCATAACTGCTCCATAAACAATGTGACCACCTCTATAATGGAGGCAATATAGGTTGATGGATAGATAAACACACGTGGCAGAGTAGTCCTGAAGCCTCCAGGATAATTTTGTTCTTCATAACCCTTGCCAGCAAAGTGATTTTTCTTTTGTGAAATTACTACTCTACTGCTAGAAAGTAGAACCTCTAACAAGATGTAAACTTTTTTAGTAAATGTCGTAGCACTAGCATGTTGCTTGGAATGATAAAGTCATGAGTTCAGCATTAGAAGCTTTCCAGCAGCTTTTCCCTTCACTTGCACCTATCTTTAGACAACTTCAAAATCCTACAGCATGACATTTGACAATACCGTAAACACTATTGCCAAACATGTTCAATCGACCTGCAGCAATAACTATGCTTCAATCTGCCAGTGTCGGTCCAACTGTTGTAGTCCCTGGCCTTCCTTCCACAGCTACCATGTCTGATTCACACAAATCACATTATTGGTTGGTATATGTATGTTCAGTTTCATTCGATACTAGTCAAATGAGGTGTGTCTCCTTTTTCTTTAGGGACTCACATGTCCAGCGAGGGTGGATGGTTTTTCGTCTGGATCATAGAAACCATTGTGTTTCCTGCCACTCACAATTTCCAGAAGCAAAATGCCAAAGCTGAACACATCGATTTTAGTAGAGACAACACCGTTGCAGTGCATACTCCGGAGACATGTAGCCACTGTCAAGAGAAACCAAGAAAGAAAACAATGAATTTAATTTTACGGTATGCATATATTACACTAGCATTGAACCCGCACGTTGTGCGGGCGAGTTCCATCTTTTTATCAACATTAATCAATTTTATTTCAGTATTTTGAATATTTTAATGTGTCATTCTATAATTTTTGTAATTTCAGTATTCAAAATTTTGTAAAGGTATTAGTGTTTTCCAACATTCGTAAAATTTATAAGTTTAGCTTGTGCTTATAATCTAATCGTTTTATGAGTGGACATCAAAATAATCCCAATTTTTAAAATTTCAAGTCTATTGGATATATGTTGTATTTGGAAGATTATATTACAATATTTTGCATAGTCATATCACTATATACATATTTTCTCACATTAAGATAGTCGGCATAGCTTTCAAAATGATAATAAAGAGCTTTTATTTAGAGTAAAATGGAATGCATGAAAGGTTATATTGAAAAAGTTTGGGGTAAAGTATTTTGTATTGAAATCGCGTTGAGTTATAGCTCAACCGTTTCCTACCATTAAAATTACCTACCAATTTGGATCCAATATACAGTATTTTCGATCCAACCGACATTCTAGAATTTCTTAAACATTGTTAAAAAGGGGTTATAGGTATAATATTCTCATTTATTATGATGTTGTGTCAAACATGCCTCTACTATTTTTTACATCAAATATGTCCCTGTACTTTGTAAAAATGACCAAACATGCCCTTTTGTTAAAATTTTCATCTAAAGACCGTTAACCAAGGCCGAACTTTAGTTTGGGCGCCACAAATGACAAAAAGATTCCTAATAAATTCACTTTAGAATTTTTTTGGTGCCCGGCCTATGAAAAGTGAAAACAATGGGTGGATTGGCGGATGGATTGCTTTGTCCAGATTGATGCTGAGGAATTACCTTGTTGGTGCCGTTTCTTTGTTCTTCATCCTCCTGCAAAATTATTTTATTAGCAATATCTTAATTCTTAACACCCGGCCATAGGTTGTACCTATATTGTCCTACATGAATAGAGGGACTCTGTACCTGCAGTTTTGTTTCTTGGTTATAGCTATTGTAATTGTTATTTATTGTTGCAAAAGGGTTTCATAATTATTTCTGTGAGTTGGTGAAGTTTCCTTGGAATACCACTGACACTGAGTGTGTTGAGGATGCATTTCGAGCATCAAAACTTCAATTCTCCAGGCGGTATTTTCTTGCGCCAATTAGTGCAGCTTAAGTAACACCAAACTTCCCTCACACCTCCAACCTTTGTGGTCATGACTTGATAGTTTTCTCCCTGCAGTCAAAGCAACAGGTACGTAACTAATTTTGGAACTGGAGCTTATGCAAATGAGTTTGATTGCAGCGCGCAGTGTGTGTCATGTAATTGGTTTTCATGATCTGTTTTTGTTACTTCCAGTTGCTCTGAAATATTATATAGGAGATCGAGGAAGTTCTATTGGGGTTTGCTGGCTCTGGTAGGGTAATGGCCAAGACTTGTTCAAAATACAAAACCTGGAAAATAGTACACCAACTGCAAATGAATTACAGTCCAGGCAAAGGTGAGCATGGTTACAGTGATAGATATTACTAAGGCAGAGTTGCTAAAGCAATACAATCTATCAAATTAAAAAGAACCAAAACTAAAATGACGCTGGATCGAGGGACTAAATCTTGATTACCAACAATAAGGGATGTCGATGCAGAAATAGCTACGTACAGTACTGGGCATAAGGTTATTGGGACCTTCCTTAGCAGGTATAATAGTCGTTAATGTTATGCAAGTGTGGGTTCAATTTGGTTTGATTATAGTTTTTTTTCTTTTTATCACTACATTAGTTATGTTTTGAGACATAACTCTTCATTGCGACACGGTTAATTGGTAAACTAAGATCAGATGCTACAACTACATCAGGAACTACAAAACAGTGAAGCGAGAATTGGGGAATTACACCATATATATGGTGAATCGATTTAATCAAAGAACCATACTTGATCCCATGTTAGTATGCGGGCAAGAAAAGAGAAGGAAAAATAATGTCGATGAAGAGGCAAACAAAGAAACAACAATTCAATTCAAACAGAGGCCTTAATTTCTAATCAACCCATTTCAAACAAAAGGCCAGGTTGAGAATCATCTAACTGTGTTTAATAACAAAGTATGCAACTTGTTCACAATGGAAGCAGAGAATGATCCAAAGAATGTCAATTAGGAAGGAAATTTGCAGGACATACGACACTGAACAAACTCGTAAGAATGCATGGGACTTCAAGAATCACTATATATATATGACGATGTTGAGGCCTTACCCAAGAGACTCTAGGCTTGTCAATCCGTCGTCGTTCAATCGACGACAATTTTTCTGTGTCAAAAGAGAGGAAGTAGAGAATGAACCAACGAATGTCAATCATAAAGCAATTTTTGCAGGACAAAGGTTGAGCAAACTCGTAAGAATAGGGATTCAAGAATCATTATGAAGATGTTGAGGGCTTACCGAGGAGTCTATTGACTTCTCGATCAGGACGCTATCGCCGACAGTTAGGCCGCATCATTTCCTTTCCCGAGCAACGAAAGAATAGAGGAAGACCGCCTCGATCAGTTGTTCCCTTCCCTTCCCGATCAACCGCAGAAGAAAGGAAGATCGTTGGTACGTACGTGGGTATTGATTAGAAAGGTAGTACACAACACGTACATGAGGATTTGAGGCCCGAGAGATAAAAATGAAAGAGGTTTCAGAAAATGATACTATATAACCAAGATGAAATTACCTGCGGGAATACAAAGAAGTTCACAGGGGACCGATTGAATTAACGATGGCGGTGTTCGGAAGACGGCCGCCTGCGGAGGAATCTGGGCTCTTTCAAACGGTGGGCGCGGAGGAATGAAGAAGGACAAACTGGATCCATGGCGGAAAATGGAATCTGGCGGCACTGACATATACCAATTGACGGAGGAAAAGGGAAGAATCTTTGGCATCGTCCTAGGGCCTACGGAATGGAAACTGGGTTCATGGCGTTTGGGGAAGAAGAGTGGAAATACGGCGAGTAACTTAAGGGGGGTAAGAGAGAGAGACACCGTTATAAAATTGTCGAAGGGGAAAGGGGAGGAGGAGAGGCATGTTTATTCGGCGGAAGAGAGGCCTTTTAAATGTCTGACGTGGATCCTTGTCGTTTCAAGGAGGATTACGTGGAGGGGGTGGGATTCTAAAACTGCTTTAAGATTTTTTAAGATTACAGACTATGTTCCAACAATACACCCTGTTTTTGCTTCTAATTCTCTGAGACCTAGGATCGTAGCCATCCCGAAATCTTATATCTTTGGGTTCATGTCATCATCAAGCAAGACATTGCTTGTCTTCACGTCATGGTTGACTACTCTCAATCTGGAATATTTGTGGAGTTAAAGAAGTCCTTGTGCAATTTCTTCGATGATGTCAAACCGTCTCTTCCAGTCCAACACTCTCTTTCTCTCGGCCTCTGGCAAAAATGTTCAGGAAGAGGCTGACAACAATATAAACAGATTGTTCTGTAGAGACAAAAGAGGACCAAGCTTCCGTTTGGCATATACTCAGACTAGATTCTTCTCGTCTCTCAGCGTGCAGAATCCTAATAGCCTCACTAGATGTTTAGCAATGAGACAGGCTTCATTTCTGAACTCCACAACCCCTTGCCCTGAACTTCTTGATAGTCGTTTTACTGCGACTTCTCGCCCAGTTACCAGCCTTCCCTGAAATAGTAGACAGTTAACAACCAGCAACTGTTATTTATTTATGCAGTCGTGTGTAAGCTAAGCTGTCTGCTGATTGGTTGAATTGTCTGGAGGACCCCGCTGCAAGTAACAACTGTTCCTGAACCTGGACGAAGAAAAGAAGGATAAGAGGAGTGAGAAGGTGAAGACTGTTGAGGTTTCCAATACAATGGAACAGGTAAACTAGCGACTCCGAGTTAACAAAAACCTCAATGTTGCGCAACTAATTACCCAACCTGTCAGCCGCAATCAGACCGATCTTTTCATTCGGAATGAACCCAATCAGCACGTAACCCCCCGTTCACCCGTAACTTTGCTAAGAGGAAGCTGAGATTCTGCAGCATTTTGAAGACTTGACTGGGTGTAACTTGGACCCAAACATTCTGTATCATTTGCCATGGCAAAATGCTCTGAATGCATCAGATAATAAAGGTCAAAGACTGAAAACAATGAAGTCCAAGCTTTTGTTTGGCATATACTCATAATCTAAAATCTGTTCGCCTATGATGGAGAACTCTTAAACAAGCTATAGTCCTAACTGCTGGATGCCTAGCAACTGATTCAGAAAAGACCAACAAATGGATATGGAAACACTTGATTAAAGAAGCAGAGACCTTCCCTCTTCCAGGGGCTAAGATCGTAATCACCAGTAGTCGCCACAAGAGCAAATTCCATTCTCAAAGTGGTGGAACCGATTCATATCCCTCACGATGATATCTCGTTTCACAATCTTCGATATCAGTTTCATGACAGCATGACAGTCTGCACAGATGCGAAGGTTTTTTATGATCCGGACAGGGCTGCTGCCCGATGGCGTTCTGATCAGACCAAAAGCTAAAGCTAGTCTTTCACTATGCACCCACAAGTGGCGCTCTTTTTGATCATCTTCAATGTCCCGCAACACGGCGTTGTGGTCAGGACTGTAGCTTTCTTGCCTGGTTTTCATGTTCAGCCACTCCAGCATTCCATAGATCATTTTCTTGTCAGGATGTGAAGCGTCATCCACAGCGAAATAGTGAACAGTGCCCTGGTTCTCAATCCAGCTAAGACCTGGTTCTTTGTTGAGTCCTTTTGTTTTCATGCTTCTCCTAACAGTAGCAACATTTGCCCACCTCCTGGTTCTGGCATACATGTTGGATAACAACACATGGGTCGACTCATCTTGGGGATCAATCTCGAGGATGTGCTTTGCACAGAATTTCCCTAGCTCAACGTCATTGTGGATGACACAAGCACCAAGTAAAGCACGCCATGCCATAAGAGAGGGCTCAAATGGCATTTCTTGTATCAGCTTCAGAGCCCGATCGAGATGACCTAACCTTCCTAATAGCCAGACCATACAAGAGTAGTGTTCCACGCATGGCTCAATACCATGGTCGTGTATCATAGATTTAAAATAAGCTTCTCCTTTGCTGAGCAGTCCACCGTTACTACATGCAGATAGCACCCCAACAAAGGTCATCTGATTTGGCCTAACATCAGTTTCTTGCATCATGTCAAAAACCTTCAGAGCTTCCCCACCGAGACCATGCATAGAGTACCCTGATATCATAGTATTCCAGGAGACCTCGTCATTTTTGCTTAGACCATTAAATACCAGTCGTGCGTCTTTAATGCTGCCACACTTTGCATACATGTCTATCAAAGCATTACCAACTACGGTGTTCTTGTCATATGTAGTTTTCATTGTCAAACAATGAATCTGAGTTCCTGGGTCCAGAGCTGCTAGACTAGCACAAGCACAAAGAGCGCTGGAATATGTAACTTCTGTTGGCGGGACATTATGACATTCAAGCATATCCTTGAAGAAGCTCAATGCTGAATCGGAATCACCAACATGCACAAAACCGACAATCATAGTATTCCAACTGACGTCGTTCGTGATTGATGAGCCTAAAAATAGTGTCAGAGAGTTTTCAATCAGACTGCATTTAGCATAAACATCCATTAAAGCATTTGTGATGAAAACATCTTCCAGAAAACCAAGCTTAAGCACGTGACAATGAACTTGCGTCCCTAGATATAGAGCCTCCATACTTGCACAAGCTTGCAGGACGCTGGCAAATGTATACTGATTGGGTGTAACCATTCCCTGCCTCATCTGGAGAAACAGCTCCACGGCCTCTTTGCCCAGGCTGCTCTGAGCATGCCGAGCAATCATGAAACTCCAAGGAACCACATCATCTTTTGGCATCTCCTGAAAAACCCGTGAAGCATCACCAGCATCTCCAGATTTGACATAAAACTCGAGCAACCCCATCCCCACAAAAAGATTCGGCTCATAACCGGTTTTTAAAGCACACCCATGCAGACCCTTGGCCAAATCAAAAGCCTCAAGGCCAACACAGGCCTTGAGCACAGCAGCAAGCGTAAAATGATTAGGGCGGAATCCTATTCTTCTCATGTCAGAGAACACTTGAAAAGACTCTAGGAAGCAACTATTCTCCGCATAGCAAGCCACCATCCCAGTCCACGAAACCATATCTTTGCAAAGAATCGCATCAAAAGCTCTCCTCGCATAATCTACGAACCCGGAAACAGAGTACGAATCAACCAAAGCAGTCCCAACAAAGGCGTTGGACTCATGACCAAGCTTACAAATGGAAGAATGAATGCTGGGAGTCAGCTCGGCCCACTCCATGGCCACGAGCAACTTCAAGGCCGAAGTGAAAACAAAAGGGTTGAGCTCCTGCCCCTCTCTGTGCAACCTCGAGAACAAGTCGAGAGCTTGGACGAAGTCTGAAGACTGGGCGTAGCCCTGGATCAAGGTAACAAAAGAGATTGTGTTTCTCTCAGGCATCTCGTCGAACACCTTACGGGCATCAGTCAAGGACTTCCCATTCACGTAGAGGTTGAGCAGAACGTTGTGAGCAAACAAATCTAAGCAATTACCCGTCTTGAGAATCGCACAGTGGTGAGCTCGGCCGGTAAGGTGGTCGCCATTCTGGATGCAACGTTGAAGCATAGCTGCGTAAGCGTGAGACTGTGGTGGGGAAGGTTGGAGGGAGAATTGGGACAGCCCTCGCCAAGGGAACCATTTGAGATGGAGGAAGATAGGGTCGCAATGGTTGAGCAATTTAGAAAGGGTTGAAACCGGAAGTAATCTGATCATGCGCGCCAACGAGAGGGAGAGAAAGAGAGAGCGCGCGGGAGAATGTCACGCTTCAGTGAACTCACAACTTCCGGCTCGAAAGCAGCGGGGGAATCTGCTACTGAAAATAGGGGTGGGTGTTCAAATAGTTACCATGGTTATTACCAAATTAAATAAGATTAAATTTCATTAACCATTGAATAATGAATACAATATCATAATCAGACCGTCTAAACTAATACAACAATCAAATTAACCAAACTAAAGCTTAACCGGTTTGGTTAATTGGTTAACCAGATTAACCAATATAAAATCATAGGGTATGTCTACTATGACATGCATGTCACGTTGACATGCACTTTTCGGTCGACCTATTCCTGAAGGCGGTCGACCGAATTGACTAATTTGGGCAGCACGAGAAAGCATTGTGGTCGACCTCAACGACCACTTGGTCGACCGCACTTAGTTTAAGTTGTTATTTTTGGTCGACCAGAATAAAACCTCGATCGGCCATTTTGTTGGCGTTAGAAACAACATGGTCGACCACCTAAGGTATATAGGTCTACCACTTGATGGCAGTCATTAACAAAATGGTCGACCGGATAAGGAAAGAGGTCGACCAGATAGAAGATAAATGTTCTATCAAAGTGTCCAATCATTTGACGTAAAATGAAGATCAAGTGTTGGTTTCGCGGTCGACCTAATCCGGTACGAGGTCGACCGAATACAAGAAAGTCAACCTATGCCCCGTGTTTTTTTTGCTTATGTATGTCGATTTGTGTGGTTCTTTTGATCGTATAAATTATGTTTCAAACCATCATAAATAGTCATAAATAATGATAACAAGGACTCATCAATTCATAGCATAACAACTAAACAAACTAACAAGAAATACAATAAAACAAAAATCATAATTGTTCACACATAAAAATAAAACTAAAAAAACAACTGAATAACAATCAACAATCGTTTTGACCACTTAACAATAAAAACACACAATCTAAAATCGCCGCGCTCCTACTCATCTCCCCCCTCTCCCTCATCCACATTTTCTTCATTGGTTGTGCTAGCATGATGGTGGTCAGATGTGGTGGGATGCATGTATCTTCCGCTGAAAGATCGCCACTCATCTCGCATCTCATTCACGGTCACCTGCATTGTGCTCATCTGGGCGGTCATTTGCCCCATGTAGTAGTACATGCCAGTCATCTGGGTGGACATCTGGCCCATGTACTCATACATGCCATCCATGCGCTCCCACACACGCTCTAAGGTGATCGGTGGAGTTGAACTCTGTGCCTCCGCCATTGGCTCGTCTCGAGCTCCTTCATCACCATCATCATCACCACCATGAGCATTGTTTATTCTGACATACTCACCATTACGCAGCTCAAAACCCATCTTTTTCAGAGATGAAACAGTATAGAACTCCTGCCTTGAGATTCTTAACCCCACCTCTTCACTTAAATTCACATTAAAATGCTCAAATAGCACAGTGAGGATCATTCCATAGGGAAGATTCCTGTTTGAACTCTCTGCAGCAGTAAGCATGTGGTTAAAGATCAAGTATGGCAAGTTCACCTTCTCGTTTAACAGTAGGTTGGTGAGGAGCTCCATGTCGAAGTAGGTGACTGTCTCCCGATGTCCACCCTTTGGCAGAATGTTGTAGCAAAGCATGTGGTGAAGAACTCTGGCTTGAACTGTCAGGTGGTTACTCGTTGGCCTATTGCGACCCTGAGCATCTTCCTCTTCATCAAGACCACATACCGTCTGGATTTGCTTGGCTCTCGTGAAATGCGTTTCATTCCAAGCACCGTAAGAATGGATTCTCTTCCCCTCATTTGGAGCCTCTAGTACTTGCGCCAACACATTCTTGCTGATGCGCATCGCCACCCCATTCACATAGGATTTGAATGCGTGAATGGATCCATTTGCATTGCGCTCGTAGACGATGTTGTTGTAGAAGTACTGTACCAGTTTTGGGTAGTATGGTACATTGAGAGATATCACCTTCAGCCACTCTTGCTCGATGAAGGGTCCCAGAAACCCGTAATTCCCGAAATGAGAATACGCATCCATCGTCAATGGCCTTCCCGGAACCACCCTGCGGTTGTGCATTCTCTTCTCTTCATAGTTCTCACTTTGCTCCTTGGTCTGGAACAGATTGGGATTGAACTCTTCCCATTCCGAACTTGAGGCAGCAACTTTTTGTGCCTTTCTTTTCTTTTTGCCGCCAAACATCCTGCAATCAAACAAGCAAGAATACACGTTAGTCACATTTTTGAAATGAACAAAACTCGGTCGACCACTCCATAAAGCGGTCGACCTCAGTTAATTTAAAACGAGAATGGGTCGACCTCAGAAGAAGCATAGGTCGACCTCTGTTAATTTAAAACGAGAATGGGTCGACCTCAGAAGAAGCATATGTCGACCTCAGTTAATTTAAAACGAGAGTGGGCCGACCTCAGAAGAAGCATAGGTCGACCTCAGTTAATTTAAAACGAGAATGGGTCGACATAAACCCGTAACAATTCAAGTACAAAATTGCATTCATAGGTGGACCTCAGAACAAGCATAGGTCGACCTCGGAAAATTTAAATCGATTGAAAACCAGATGTGACTTTCAGCAGGAGTGCAGTGCAGGACATTAGACCACCTTGGAATGCACTCGAAGACACAAACGTCTGCTACCTTCACCGAGTTCTCCTTTGCAACCCTATGTCGGTCACCGGCAAGCAAACAACAACAATATAAAAAAGAAGACCCTAAAACCTAAACTCTCTTACATGGCACCGCCCCGCATGTCCCGTTCTTATGGATGTAAGAGAGTTTAGGTTTTAGGGTCTTCTTTGTTATATTGTTGTTGTTTGCTTGTCGGTGGCCGGCATAGGGTTGCAAAGGAGAACTCGGTGAAGGCAGCAGACGTTTGTGTCTTCGAGTGCATTACAAGGTGGCCTAATGTCCTGCACTGCACTCCCCATGAACATCTGGCTTTCAATCGATTTCAATGGCCCGAGGTCGACCTCAATATCATCACAGGTCGACCTCAACAAGTTTAGCACAAATAACTCGAATTTTTGCCTTCATTGGTCGACCTCAGAAGCATCATAGGTAGACCTCGGCTAATTTGAAACGAGTCTGAAATGGCCCAAATGCTTTTGCTATTGAGTGTAAAACAGATCCGGTCGACCTCATAATCAAAAGAGGTCGACCAGAGTTAGTTTCGCACAAATAATTCAAAGACAATGGCACAACTCGAACTTTTGCCTTCATAGGTCGACCTCAGAAGCATCATAGGTCGACCGCGGCTAATTTGAAACGAGTCTGAAATGGCCCAAATGCTTTTGCTATTGAGTGTAAAACAGATCCGGTCGACCTCATAATCAAAAGAGGTCGACCAGAGTTAGTTTCGCACAAATAATTCAAAGACAATGGCACAACTCGAACTTTTGCCTTCATAGGTCGACCTCAGAAGCATCATAGGTCGACCTCGGCTAAATTGAAACGAGTCCGAAATGGCCCAAATACTCGTAGCAAAATGTCACAGGTCTACCTCAATATCATCACAGGTCGACCTCAGTCTATACAACAAAAGAAAAAATCGATTGAAAGCCAGATGCGGTCGACCACGATTATGAAAAGGTCGACCGCATCTGGCGAACAGAAGGATAAATCCCTCTTTTCAAGCTATATAAAACAGGAATAAATTGATTGAAAGCCAGTTGCAATCGACCATGATGATGAACAGGTCGACCGCATCTGACGAACAGAAGGGAAAATCCCTTTTTTCAAGCTATAGATCTAAATAAAAATCCATAAAATCGTAGCAAAACTTCACAGGTCGACCTCAATATCATCATAGGTCGACCTCGGTCCATAAAACAGGAAAAAAAATCGATTGAAAGCCAGTTGCGGTCGACCACGATGATGAACAGGTCGACCGCATTTGGCGAACAGAAGGGAAAATCCCTCTTTTCAAGCTATAGATCTAAATAAAAATCCATAAAATCGTAGCAAAACTTCACAGGTCGACCTCAATATCATCATAGGTCGACCTCAATATCATCATAGGTCGACCTCAGTCCATAAAACAGGGGAAAATATCGATTGAAAGCCAGTTGCGGTCGACCACGATGATGAACAGGTCGGCCGCATCTGGCGAACAGAAGGGAAAATCCCTCTTTTCAAGCTATAGATCTAAATAAAAACCCATAAAATTGAAGCAAAACTACACAGGTCTACCTCAATATCATCATAGGTTGACCTCAGTCCATAAAACAGGAAAAAAAATCGATTGCAAGCCAGTTGCGGTCGACCACGATGATGAACAGGTCGACCGCATCTGACGAGGGAAAATCCCTCTTTTCCATCTTTAGATTTTTTTCAAAACAATCTAATCTACCAAAGAAGAAGACAAAAATCGAATCAAATGAAAAAGAGGACTGAAAGCTATACCTTGTTCTTCTTCTAAGTGATGAGGATGAAATGGAATGGAGGTTCCTTTGAGTTTTTGGAAAATGGAGATTTTGGAAATTGGAGAAGAAGATGAAGAAGGGAAAGGAGAGGAAGAATGAGTGGATGTGGTGGGATAGGGTTCTGATTGTGGTGTAGAATGAGTTAGGGAGGGTTTCTTAAATAGAGGATTGGGGGAGGTTTGGGTGGATGTTGCAAACAAACCAGTTTGGTCGGCCGAATTAAATACGCGGTCGACCTCAGTAACTTGTTCGGTCGACCGTTATTTGTATGAGGTCGACCGTTTTATTGCTATTGTTTATTTCAACCAACAATCAATTAACTCATAAATTATTAAGATAATTCGAAGAAAATACAATGCAATCACAGTTATTAAACAATAAATAAACTCCTAAAAAACATCAGAAGAAATTTAAGATCCTTTTTTGGGACTTTGTTTCGGGCTCTTAGGGCAAAAATGACCATATTTCCCACATTTCGAACACTTTCTTAAACTTTTGCCCGATGCAGTTCGTGCTGACTTGAATGTCCCCTTGGTCTTCCCAATTTTTGGATCTTTCACACTTCGAAGGGGTGCTGGAGGGTTTGCCTGTGTGTTGTTGTCCGTTCTCTCCCTCGCGAACTCAATTTCCCATTGAGTAAGGTCGTCCAACGTCTTAGAGACATGATTAAAAGCAGATTCACTACCACACTCGATGTCACACAAACGCTTACACTTTTGAGCCAATCCTCCATGTCTTATTAGTCGACCAACTTTCTCTCCCACATCACCTCCAACTCCAGGATGACGATTTAGTGTCTTCGCATTTTGGGTCCATCGAAGCTTGAACCACGACGAGGGTAGTGCGGTGTATCCCATATTTTTTATTACTGTAAGCATATGTCTGCATGGAAACCCCTTAGATTCAAATAATGCACACTCGCATTTTAGATCTTGATTGGACGTAGTAAATGTTAACTGCCTTATCCAATCTGGGTGCATTTAGTTCTCCAGTATGAATGTCTCTGTCCCATCTGATTCATTTCTCTCTCCGCTAATACATAAGAAGCTTCATTCTCTAGTTCAGACTTGAAGATAGCAAATGTACGATGTGTGTAGATACTTTCAGCTTGCATTTCCCAAGTGCGAAGGGCATGCTTGCAGACCAACCTCGTGTGCCTAGAAGTATAATCATCCTGCACCTCCGTGAAACGCATCCCCTCCAGTGCTTCATCAATGCCCTGAACAAAACGTTGCAAGCTGTATTGAGTTCCCACATACCCATTTATCCAATGGTTACATGACTCATATCGCGAGGTTGATTGGAGTCCACCGAAATAAATATCCTTCAAGTATGCCTCTGCCCACAGTAATTTGTCAGCGTACAAATCCTGCAACCACTTATTTGCAGACAAACCATGCTGACTAATCAAATGCTCCCAACGCCTCTCAAACTCCTCAATCGATATACGTGCTTTCGCCAAGTAAGTGAATGCGCTAACGAACTCCTTATTATGAACGGCCGTTGTCGCATTTGTCTCAATATGCCAAATACACAGACGGTGAGGCACTCCAACCAGAACAGTAGCAATGGCACCACTCATAGACTTGTCTCCGTCTGTGATCACTGAAGTTGGCATCTTAGAGTTAATACACTCAAGAAAAGTATTCAACAACCAAACATAGTTGGGGATTGTCTCGTTATCCAACTGGGCAAAACCATATATGATGTTACGGTGGTGGTGATTTACACCAACCATCACAACAAATGGTCGATTGTACTTGTTGCGCTTGTAGCATGCATCGAACGCCAAGACATCCCAAAAAAATGGTAATCTGCTCTAGATGTGGAGTCCGACCAGAAGAGGTTGCCTAATTCACCTTCATCGTTGGTTGTGTACTTGAAGAAGCTACCCGCATCAGAGGTATGTTTACTTTGCAAGTAACCCAATGTTCGGTTAACATCTCCTATTAGATCGTCGTCAACTGTTCGGGATTGCTGAACAGCATTGTCCAAATCATTTGGAGTGTACCCCAGATTCTCATATCCTCCAACTTTATTCTTCAAGAACTGAACAATGTTGCGTTGTTTTATTCCTGACTGTCGCATCCCTATCGCCAGAGCCTTGTCTCCTTCACTCACATTTCGATGAGACCGAAGGAATTGAGTTTCTTCTTCATTGCAGCAACGATGTGAGTGCTTCCTCTCAAACTTAGAAACAACCCACATTTTCTTATTCCGATCAAAACGTACAGTATACGATGCCTTGCAAGAATGTCTTGTCATCTTACGATGTTGTCGAGTCCGACCTTCTTTATCTATATGCATCTTCTCTCTAGTCCCCTCTCTCGAACATACCATTGTCCTCCCAATTGCTACTCCTCGACGACTCCTCCGAAGATCTCTACGTCGAACGCTAAATTCTTTCGCTTTAGCATAGGAATCGTAAAATTTCTCTGCATCTTCTAATGTTTGGAACTCCATGGAAGGAATTTTTTGTTCATATTCAGTAGCTTCTTCATCATCCATAAATTATTCTTCAGCACCTTCGGTTTCATTATCATCCCCAACCACTTCATCATCCGTATTATCTGTATCATCTGAATTATCCATAGCTCCTTCTCGAGCATCCTTAGGTTCCTCATCGAAGTTAACCTCATCATCATCTCTATCATCTGTATCATCTCTGTTATCCATCTTGCAACGATCGGAATACGAATTTAATGTCAAAAACATACACAATTAGCTCTCGTCAGGTCGACCTGAATGAACTGTACGGTCGACCTTATTACTAAATAACAAAGATGCGGTCGACCTGAATTTACTGTAAGGTCGACCTAATAATATAATTACACAAACACGGTGGACCGGATGGTCGGGTGGTCAACCTAATTAGGGAAAAATTTAACCACATACAACCATTAACAAGCACATACGAGACATACCTTAGCAAAGAGGTCAACCACTTATTGTTACGGTCTACTGGAATAAAAATAAACCGCCACCAACACCCGATCACAATAAGAGCGATGAGATTACAACTTCACTCCAACAAATTGCATAAATCGAAGTACGATTAAAGTCTTAAGACTCCCATCTTTTTATAGATAATTAGACGAATTCCTTATCCAATTGGTGAAAGATATATAAAATCATAATTCGACAAGGACAAGTACACAAAATCCCAATTGTACAAGGACATGAATCATTACGGTCGACCACTTTGCAGAAATGGTCGACCGTCTTGGGTAAATGTGAAACAGGTCGACCTCTTTACACAAATGGTCGACCGTTGTTTATAAATGTGAAACAGGTCGACCTCTTTACTGAAATGGTCGACCATCGTTTATAAATATGAAACAGGTCGACCTCTTGACGCGAATGGTCGACCGTATTTTATTAAGGCCAAACAGACGAGATTACATCCTTATTCCACATGGGTTTTGACTTTGCTACGTTATCATAGGTCGACCTTAAGCGTCACGAGGTCGACCTGTGCTCTGCCTTTGGGTATGCCCGCTTTGAGTATGTGGTCGACCACTTGTTCTAGACGATTGAAATCGTAAATTCAGTCACATCCATAATTGTATAACAAATCTAATAAACGATAAACATTCAAAATCCAAAATGAAACGATCGCAAATACAAATTCAATGTATTGTCCAAATAATGCAACATTGTAACTTAAGGACTTCATTTCTTTGCTTTTTTGTTTGAACTCTGTCTCTCTTTGCCTCGTTTCATGCATTCATCTACTACATGCTTGAAAAGATTTTCTCGTGCACGATTTTCAAAATATGTAACCAGATACCATAGAATCTCCTTTCGAGCCGGTAATTTGTGTTCTTCTCCTATCTGCATTATGCCATGTAAGACTTCGTTACAGCTACAAAAAGTGTAAATTAAACAAGTTATTTGTTTGAAGATATACTCACCACTCTATCCAGATCCTTGGATCCATAGCGCATCCACTGCATGAGGTGCACACCACACCCAGTACTATTGCTTTGCCGTTGAACTCATAGCTCATCAAAATTGCAATCTCCAAAATTTGGTACTACTACATTGCTCATGCGCTCCGATTTGAAAATATCATCCAAATTGGACAACTACACACAAATAACGAATATTTTAAGCTTCTAGCATAATACGTGACGCTTAGTTGTCAGAAAATTATAGGAAACACTAACCAATTTCTTGCATAGTGCTGAT